GTGTTCATAGGAGACGCAGTCGCATTTCCGGGACTTTGCAAGGTGCGATCAAGTTGAATGAACGATATGCTGCGACAGCTGACGAGTAGCTCCAGATCCGAGTTCCATAAGCACCGGGATGTCGGCAAGAAGGACTTCGGTACCATCGAATATCTGCTTCGAAGAGGAAGAAATCAGCTAGAGACATGGTCTGAGCCGGGTATCCGAGACATCCACAGGTAGCGGGGGAATGCAGGATCAAGGAACGAAGAACGAAGCGGTGCACCAGTGAGCGAGCACCCAACGTCACCGTTATACAACCTGTTAGATGAACATCACGCAATACATGACCGAATTGCGGGGTATACGGGCCTTGTGCAGCGGATGCCTCACATGTCGCTCCCAAGGCGTTGGATACTTCGAGCGCGGACATCACGTGATATGGTCTGAGCCACCACCCCGAACTTTCTAGTCCCAACTCGCCCCTCACCGAAGCAGGATCAACCTGGAGATTGCCATGATAGTTTCCCCCAACAAGAGCTGGAAGCCTCTCATCTCACGATCTCGTCTGATCGTGTACGACAACATGACGACAAACGTCGTGTTCGAAAGCTCTAGAAACTCCCCGAGCCATCTCCGAGGCTTCTCGCAGCCTCGTCGTCAACGTTACACCAATGCCTCTCCGCAGTGCGATCATTCCAGAGACTCATCTCTCGGGTATATATAGCCCTCGAGGCGTATCTCAAAGCTCATCATCAGAACAACAAACAACGAGTCTTCTATGCAATCAATCCGCTCTACAATCCAACGAGTTCCTCGACAACTCAACCGCATCACCAAGCCTACGATCACAACCACTCGACGCTTTTCCAACGCACCAGCAACAATGTCTCTCTTCCCACGATTCACTCAGGAATTCGCTCCTATCTTCCGTCTCTTCGACGAGTACGATAGGCAAGCCTTCCGCAACCTCGACCGCGAATTCACCAACGTCCGGTCCTTCACTCCCAAGTTCGACGTGAAGGAAACCAAGGAGGGCTACGAACTCCACGGAGAACTCCCTGGTGTCGAGCAGAAGGACATCAACATCGAATGGACCGACAACAACACGCTGACCATCTCGGGCCGCCACGAGCACGTCCGCGAGGAAGGTCAACGTCCTCAGGGCTTCATCGAGAACGGCGAAGCTTCCCAGCAGAAGAAGCTCCAGCCCAAGGTGGAGGACGACCCCAGCGAGTCCAACAAGGTCGCCAAGCAGTCCGAGAACAAGGACGTCTCCAAGCACGACGAGAACAAGGCCAAGTACTGGGTCAGCGAGCGCTCAGTCGGAGAATTCCACCGCTCCTTCGCCTTCCCCGCTCGCGTCGACCAGGAAGCTGTCAAGGCTTCTCTCAAGAACGGTATCTTGAGCATCCTTGTTCCCAAGGCTCAGGCTCCTCAGCCCCGTAAGATCAGCATTGAGTAGATCGAAGCGGCTTAACCGAACAACGATGAACGATGATGAACGACGACTTCCCTGCTTTATTGAATCAGCGAGCGTGGCATAGCAATGGAGTTTGCGATGGGTTATTGTAGTGTTTTGGGTTAGTTCTGTGCTTGTAGTGGTGGCAGCATTCACTCTCTTAGTCGGGCAGCGGTATTAGGAGTTTGTATGTAGTTCATCGCAATATAACAAGTTTATATGATCCCCCGTGCCGGTTTCGGTGATGGTCTGGTTGGTCGTTGGCACAGTCTCCTCGGTATCCATCCAATTCTAAGTGTCCTCTGGTTCGATGTCTTTGGTCTTGGTAACAGCAACCACGGGTTGAGATAGTGCTAGACCGACCGGATTGTTGCTGAGATCGACACGGGGTTTATCGAACTCATCGCTTTTTGCCATCCAATGCTGATGGTGATGTTTTATTGATCTTTGAGATACTGTTAGTGTTCAAATCGTGAGACAATGAACTGAATTTCATGCTAGGCGGATTGCGCGTGATGTTTTGCTGTCTTTTGTGCTACATGATGTGCTAACGTGTGCCGAGGGGAGCCATTGTGAGACGCGTGGGCATCGAATTCCACAACTACTACCACTACCTTATTCAAAACGACTTCACTCTTATATCCTTAACGAAAGCATAGCCATTCTTTCAAGCCTTGTACTACACGCAAAAATGCGCACCTGCTCTGAGCGCAGGCAAAAAAATGATTCTATACGTCGCACCCTCCCTCGTCACGGCTTCAAGACGACGCCTGAGCAAAAAAAGATGATCATCTCGCAATTGTGGAGAAGGATGTTATGCATCCTCCGGGAGCTGGAGAGGCTGTTAGAATGATGTTGTATGGTGTGGAAGTGGAATAGAACGTACTCGAACCCGGGCCAATTGCTTGGAAGGCAATTATCCTACCGTTGGACCAAGAATGCTTGATGGAAGTTTGCCGATTGTGAACAAATATGTACTGCATCAACCTTTTCCGTGCGTACATCTCGAGCAGCTACCTGCTCAGCAGTGCTTGTGATACTAACGCCTCAGATACGACCTTGTGGGTAAGGTCCTGCGAAACTTAGCGCCGAACTACCCATTACGTCTTCTAGACCGCGGCCCACGTCTTGACCAGTCTGGTGACAAAGGTTCAGGATCCGCAAATGCGCTGTAAACATGCGGGACTTCATGGCAAACTTCATGGTAAAATTTCGCAATGCAGAGCTTGATGGACACGGGAGATACGAGAGCTTGTGCTTCCACAGTAGTCGGCTACAAATTCAAAGAGCGGACCGTCCAGCTAGTATGCAAAAAGCTTTTTATATGGTCCTCATCTATCGCATGCACATGTTGCGCAGAAAATGTAGACCAGTTTATGCCTCCATAACCCATGCGCCATGCGTCGCTCAATCACCCGTTCTCGAGTTCTCGATCTTTGTTACGATGAGATCGGTGGCCCCGACCTCCGTCAATTTGTCCATGGCAATAGCGATGTCTTTCCTTAGCACCATAGCCTGTACAGCCACCCAGCCATCCTCTTCCAACGCGTTGACGGTGGGAGCGCGACGTCCGGGAGTGATCTTGCGCGCGATATCGAGTTTCGATCGGTCGATGTTGTATGTGCACAGAACGTACTTCTGTGCAGCTGCGAGAAATTAGTTCTGCTGATGAATGCGGAAGCTGGTGCGACTTACTGATGACACCCTTTATCCGAGCGGTGATCAGCTCAACCAGTTTGGGATCTGATGGGTGCTTTGACTTGATGAGAATGGCGCTGGAATCAACGACTGTGGAGATGGCCTTGAGGCCTGCAGCGCGCATTGTCTCTCCTGACTCCACCAAATCGACAATACCGTCCGCGACACCCAATGCGCATGCCGCTTCAACACTGCCGCCAACGTACTTGATGACTGTCTTGAGTTTCGCGTCGCCATTGGCTTCGCCGTTTGTGTTTCCAGCTTGTTCGGCCTCGAGTTTCCGGAAGTACTGCTCAGCCAGGTTGGTGAAGCTGGTGACAACATTCTTGCCGATCAAGTCCTCTGGCTTGGCTAGGTCGCCCTTTGCGGGAACTTGTACCTGCAGACTGCATTTTCCAAAACCGAGATCGAGAACCTCCTCCACGCCGCTGGTGGCAGTCGGTGGTGCAACGCACTCGTGTTCTGCGACTTGATCGCGCCCGGTTATGCCCAAGTCTACGCGACCTTCTCCTACGAAAGTCGGGATATCAGCGGCGGGTAGGAAGACGAGAGCGAGAGGGTGGTTCTTGACGAGTGCGATATCGAGACGGGAGTGTCGGTGGAACTGAATGTCCGAACCGTGGAGGAGGTCAAGACATGCTTGGTGGAGGCGGCCCTCTGCGATGGTTGTTAGCCAATGAGTCCAGCCGGTAGTAATGTAGGCGACGTACTCTTAGGCACCGCAAAGAGGAGACGGTCGTTCAAGCTGTTTCCCAAAAGGTCAGTCATGAAAGGAAGACTCCTGCTGCCCTGACGCGCCCTTTGCGCGATGCGCTCGATCTCACTTGCGCCTTCATTTCCGTTGGTGTACCCCATGGTTATGCAAGAAGCTTATCAGAAGAAGGGAAAAGAATGGGGAAAAGAAACAATCAAAACATACGAGTTGACGAGATCCATGGCTATGAATCAAGCACGCAATTGCTAGGGTTTGTAGTATGCAGACGCGCGCTGTGCACCCTCTAACAAAGACTTGAATGGGGAATTCTGCTACGGGCTAGGCCACGAGTCCCACGTCGGCACTTGCAATTGGATGCGGGCTTGGTGCCGTGGAGAGGGCTAAATGCGCGGGCGGCGTCAGACCAGATATGTGGGCTCGAGTGGGTGGATGTGTGTGTCGTTTTGTAGTGTACAAGATTGAGGCGCGTCTCGAATGAGTGACTCAATGAGGGGTAAGAGCTACACGTGTAATGCGCCAATGGCTGTGAACCCTCAAAAGCATAGTAACTGAGCGCGCATATCGCTGGTATCGGGCTTAGGAATTCTCTGGCTCACATCATCCCAATTGGTGCATGAAATTTGGTAGCCGTGACTGACTGGCGCGTTCAATTTTTTTGGCGGGATGACGTTCCATCAACACATGTTGCCCCGCGTTGCGATGCGTCGGAGTTTGACGAAGCGGCATTGGCCGGCACCAACTCAATCTCAAGATGGCTCACTATCGTGTCTGGACTGTGGCTGACAGTAGTATATCCAGGTTCCGTAACCATCGCTGTTGGAAGAGGGTTGATACACACTTCACTACCCTATTATTGTGTTCACGTAAAATGTTTCAGTATTAGGTGGGAGGAAGTACCATGCTCAAATTGTAAGGATCAGACATCTACTGTCTACGCGCGTCTATCTATAATGCACTACATATGCATTAAACCTATGCCGCTTCATCTCGAAGCACAACCGTGAAACAGAGACGTCAAGCGCAAGACGCCATGCACGTATGTTTCCCTTTTGATCCTTCCTGAAATGACCAACCGCGACTCCAAACTGAATGATGAGGAATGAACTCCAATATGAACGGCGTGTGTACAGGAAAGTCCATCATACCTCACATGAAGTCGTCACTATGATCTGTTAGTATATGTGGAACCCAGACAGGCTCAAACATGACTTACTCGCCAAAGTCGTCGTCATCGTATGCCCTAGTATCTGCCCTGACGCCGACGTCTCTGCTCGCATTGAGTGTAGTCTTGGTCTTTGCAGCCTTGCTCTTCTTTCCACCCTTCTCAGCAGCCTTCTCTTCCTTCATCTTCTCGTTGCTCAGTGTTGTCAGGCCAGATGCAATCTTCTTAATCTGCTCACTCGGCAGATCCTTAGCAATCTGCTTGGTGAACTCCTGTAGGAACAGCGAGTACTGGCCCTTCTTAGAGTTGCCAGCAATCAGAGGTGTGAGAGTTTCCCGGAGCTTAGTAAACTGGTCCTTGGTGTTGGGGTTGAAAAGAGCGAGGGAGGAAAGGTCGATGGCGTTGCCCGGGTCGGACTCGTCGGCAATAGTGATGGCTTTGCCAGTACGGGCCTTGGGGGCGACGCTCAGGTCGCCAAAGAGTTCCTCAGCTTGGGCGCGCGAAGCGTCGAGTTCTGCCTGGCGCATTCGTTCGCGGCGTTCAGCCTCAGTCTCTTCTTCGTCGGTCTCGCCATCCTCTTCCATCTGCCGCCGACGTAGCGCGGCCTGCCTGTGCTCCTCGATCCTTTGCGCCTTGGACTTGTGGTTTGCCTTTGCCTCTGCGTCCGCCTTAGCCTTTGCCTCGGCGGCCTTCTTTGCCTTCTCGCGTTCGACTTCGGAATCCTCGGCAGCGTCCCATGAATCTAGTACCTATTGTGTCCAATGTCAGTACATTTGGTCGTGGCGGGGCTTGAAGTATTCAAGCGCGGGGCATGGTGGGCTGACGCACATCGTCGTCTTCTTCTTCATCGTCGAACTTGCTGCGGCGCGCGATGGGAGCCACCTGTGGGGATGTGGGAGGAGTGCTGCCCTCATCCTCGTCGTCTGCAGAACATGTCAGTCCCAAGTTTTTGCATGACCATCTTGAACCGCGCGCAGTGGCAGCGAACATGACGTACCCCACTTTCCTGGTGCCATGGTTGCAGTTGTTTGTGAAAAGGTATGGGCTGTGTGTTGTTGGGAGTAATGTATCCAAGGGTTCCGACGGCGGCGCAGGGTTTTATGGGCGAGTGGTGTGGGTGAAGGAAATGATCAAAGGTTGACTACGGCGCAAGACAATGGTTGGGCTTCTGCAGGTGTCGCGCGTGGCTCGCTTGATCTACCAAAAATTAGCTGCCCAATCACACATGGTACGCCACATTCACTCTTTACCTGCACACCTCAATTCGCTATGACCCTGTGTTTATTATAGGTGGATCGCAGACTAGAACTGGCAGTACAATGAACTGATGCATGAGGAACTTTGAGATTCCATTATTGTTGTCCTGCTCACGCTAGGCCATGCTTCGGCCGCAGGCGCCTTGCAGCCATATTGTATCAGCCATCTCATATCTACAAGACATTACTTCTTTAGCCTTTTCCTTCACGCCTATCAAGGCTTCAAGTACAATGAAATCCCTATATCTAGCTAAATAACAAAGAAACAAGAACGGAAGATGAAACTCGAACCCAACCAGGACATTGCCAGAACATGTTGGAAGCAGACGAGTTGTTTGGAACAAAAGACCCGAGTTTACTACTCGGGAACCTCCCAGGGTCTCCAGAATTTCCAACCCTCTCTAACCTCTCTGGGGCCCTTTCGTTTCGAGCTGGACACGCCGACCAGTCTCTCGATACCGACTGTGCCCTCGGCCCGGAGGAACTTCTCTTGATCAATCTCCTCTCCTCCTTCCTCTTCATTCCCGTTGTGTAGGACAGCAGGCCAAAGTACACCTACTCCGTCACCAGCAAGCGTCGTCTCGAACTTCTCGAAGCCTTCCTTCTCTAATTTGACCTCAAGAGAGTCGAGAATCTTGTACTTCAGCTTTGTGCCGTTGGATATTACGGATGCGGCGCCGCCCCCGTCCGCTTCGGAAGAGGCGTCAGATTCGTCTGATGAGGTATCGTGGTGCGCGCCATTCGCATGACCGTTGGTGAGGGCTGGTGGTTGGGGCTTAAGGATAGTAATAGCGCATCCTCCGCCTCCTGCACCTGTAAGTTTTGTCCAGCCAATGCCCGTATGATCGATAATCTCGCGGATGCGCTCAAGTTTGGGATGTGAGACGCCCAAGGAGACGAGTAGCCCGTGGTTCATCGTGACGAGCTCACCGAGATGTCTTAGTGAGTCCGGAGATGTTTCATCGAAATCGGGAGATGTGAGTAGTTTGTGTGCAGATTCCGTCACTAGGCCAATAGCATTGAGGATGTTTTCTGTGAGATCGGGATGCACCTTGAGAAGGTTGGCGACCTTGGCGACTTCTGTTGCCGTACTGCGCGACTGCCGTGTGTTGACAAGCAGCAGTGGGAGCTCGGGGAAGCTATGCAATGGTATGACCAGAGGTGGCTTGTCGTAATCCCTCCGCTGGAAGAGGACCGCTTTGCCGCCCGAGGAAACGGTATTATCGACACCTGAGGGATTTCCGTGTATGCACATCTCGCCCACGAACGCCCAGCGGTTGATTCGCTCGATGTTGAGCTCACATTCTTGCGGCGGCTGATCCTGATGAGGCCCGCTGAGTGCGCGTATCTGCAGCAGCATTGCCGTGCTGAGGCAAACGGATATGCTGGCGCTACTGCCCAATCCAGCACCAATGGGAATGGTAGATCGTAGTGTGTAAACGCACGGAGGGACTTTGCGCGACGCGAGGGAGAGGAAGAGGTATAGGAAGGAACACGCGGAGGCGTGGTGAATCTTGCGTATCGACTCGGGGGCTTTCGGTGATACTTCGTCGATGAAGGGCTGGATGGCGGCCATGAGGTCGGGGTCGAGCGAGGTGACGAGGTCGTAGTAGTACTTCTTCTTGCCTGACTTGGAGAAGCTGTCCCATGGCAGATCATCGATATTCCACGTGTGTTCCATCTGTATGTCGGGGAAGCGCAGTTTAACGGTCCGATTCGATTTGGAGAGGAACGAGACGTGGAGGTAGGAGCGTAGCGATATGGCGGCGGCGATGGCAGCCTGCAGCCGGTCAGCACATGTCCCGACGTGATTGTCCTATTAATCCTACCTTGCCGTGCACTACCGCGTGTTCTCCGTAGACGATGACCTTGCCGGGTGCAGAGACCATGAAAGGAGGCATCATGGGTGACGACTGCTTGCGGAGCAGCGCAGGCGCGCCGTTCGGCTTCGATGTAGAAATGGAAGGCATTTCAGAGGCCAATTGCGCGGGCATGGAATCTATAGGCGAGGGTTCGGGTGTTTGGGTGGAATGCGACGATGTGCGCGGGTGAAGGCTCGCTGCGTACGGGTTAGCCATACAGGACTCGGACAACATCGGGACAATTGCCTTACCGGGCGCGTCAACGGTTCGTCTGCGCATGCTGCCGTTTGCTGCCATGGCGGGTGGAAGAAGAAGAAGAAGAAAAGCAACAGGTGACAAGTGAGCGTGAGTGAATGGAGTAGGGAATTGGCCGTCAAGGAGGCGTCGTGCTCAACGGGCGGGCCAAGTACCAAAGTCGGGCGAGGTCATTATACATGGGCTAAGTCGGCGGCGGACTAGTGATCAGCTCCACCATGCAGGAACTGACGGGGGTAATCTTGCATCCCTGTTTCTGGAACCGCCCTATGGCTGCCGGCACATTTCCAACAAACAAATGTCCCGCCATCGCCCCGAGTGGGCTCTCTCCTCTGTGACGCAACACAGTCCTCACCGGTGGCGCCGTCATGTCCCATTCACCTCAGATGCTTGGGCGCAGTCACGCGAACAATATCAACACTGCCCCTTGCCTTTGCGCACCCGTCCTCTACAGCCGCAGTAAGCTTGACGAGGGGCCCGGTGGCTTAATACTAGGACCGATGGTTCAAACGCGGGGAATATTAAAGTCTTATCAATGTAAAGCCCTATTAGGCCCGACATGACCATGTCTGCCACGCAATCCTCGGGCTCCGACTGTCCGTTGTACGAAGCTTACAGCCACACCACGCCATGCAACGCGACGCAATCGACTGACAGAAAGATCACGATCAGAGCCAAACTTGGTGTAGTGTAACAGGGCATCTCTATGCTCTCTATCTCGATGGCCCGGAACTTGAGAACACAACCCAGCACGTGCATGCTAATCCAAAAACCCTGATAACTCCTCGCTATGCATGTACAGATCGGTTCATCAATATGAGTCTACGATGGCGTCTTGATCATGAATATCTATGGAGACGTTAGTGGAAAGCACATCAAGCCATGGCAATGCAAACATACCTCTTTCATCGCTTGTGCATCCATAGTCGCAGCCTTCTTCTGCCGGATCCACTTCTGTCTGACGGCATGCATGCCTCTTGGAGTGTAGGATAGGCCCGCGGGAACAGGCGTAGATGTCTTCGACACAGGTACCGATGAGATCGTTGTCGGCGCGCTCTCGTCTTCCTCGCTTTCTGAGCTCGAGTCGTCTGAGCTGTCCTTTTTCGCAGCCTTCTTTGCAGCTTTCTTCAGGGCCTTCTTCGCCTTCTTCTCCTCCTTGCGTGCCTTCTTCTCGGCCTTCCGCCGTGCCTTGTCTGTGAGCGGTTCTGGGTCAGATGCCGGAGCGGCGGCGTCGTCGGTGGAAGATTCGGCATCGGATGAAGATGCCCGTTTTGATTTCTTCGACTTTTCTTTCTTCTTTTCCTTTTTATCTTTTTTGTCCTTCTTGTCTTTCTTTGACTTGGATGAGTCGCCCTCCTTCCGTGCTTCGTCGCGCAAATCCATGCTCTTCTTCTTGCGCTTCACCTTGGGCTCGTCTTCTGTGCGCTCCTCTCGCTTCCTCTTTTTATCTTTCTTCGCCGATGTGCCGTCCTCGCTCTCCGACTCAGTCTTGATCTCAGTCTTGATCTCCACTTCCTTCTTGATATCCGAGCCCTTGGTAATCTTGTCGCCCACCAGGAAACCACCGCTCACAAAGTTCATCATGCCGTATTTCCGATAGACAAAAGCCCTCTTCTCAATTTCCTCTCGCCTTTCCTCTTCCTTCTTGACCTCCGCCTCATTGCCATTCAGACGTCCAAGAATGCTCTCTAGTCCTGCAAGACCAAAGTTCTCGGCGCGCTCACTTCCTCGCTTTGCGCCCAAGCCAAGGTTATCGTCTTTGAGGAATACTCGGATGTGCGATTGCGAGGCAGCGGTATAGTGGGCGGCGTGGGAGGCGTCTGTCGCGCCCAGTGAGTTGCCAGGCTGCCATCCTTGCGAGGTCAATATGCGATGGCCGAAGCGCGACGTGTTGTTCGCCCAAGTAGTGTTTTGGGGATCGTTGGAGATCTTCGATCGGCTGGTGTGGTGTTAGTTTGGCAGGAAACAGCCAGAGCCAAACTGGCGAACGTACTTCTTCGGCGCTGCGAGACCCATGCTGCACACTGAACAGACTGAGCGATTTGGTGATTGTTGAAGAGAAAGCGGGAGTCCGCAAACACAAGCCCGAAAAAACTGTGGATGCACGCTAGCGCGGAATCTTGGCGCCATCCATGTGGGGAAGCCATCCCTCGCCGTATCCAAGCCTCCGACTTTCACCCTCTAACTCACAAGCTTCAATCTTGTGGGCCACAACGACTTTCGCAATACGAAGGTTTCGGCAAAACGATTGATCACCACTTTCGCTTTTACCACTAATCATCAGCACTTACCGACAGCAGCCATGGCACCACCGCGCACAACCAAGAAATCCACATTCATAAGCCCCTCCACAGCCACCACTCGCCAGAGCGCAAGGCATTCACGGAAACAAGTCATCAACGAGGCAGACGATCTCGAAGATCCCGACCAAGGCAATAGCGCGATCGATGATGAACATGCTGGAGATGATGAGGCAGAAGCATTGCAGCGCACTTCTGATGGTCCGCTGGAACAAATGATGGTGAAGATGGTAGACGACGTATGTTGAGATGGGCCTACACCAGCAGACTGTCGTCTCCATGTTCACGTCTATGACCCACACTCGCCTCGTCATTCGGTTGTCGGAGACATGAGGCTGACCAC